AACATTTTGTCTCATTTAAAACATGTGAAAATGTCCAATTATAACAACCTAACAGCAGAAATAAAAATGTTTACATCAGTGATATCTTCATTTTAGATGTCAAAAAGTATTTGCGGCTCCCAGTGTTTTCTTTTGCGTGGAAACCGGGTCCAAATGGCTCTTTAATGTTAAAGGTTGCAGACCCCTGCACTAACCAAACTAGTGATGCAGTCAGTGATGCCACAATAGTTTTGCGGCCACTGAGGAAAATAACTCATTAGTTATGTAGTCAAGTTTTTTTTTCAAAATAAATTACAAAACTCTTAATTTTGTATAAAATCTGCTAAAAATGTGCTGTTTCATGTCTTTCATGCCTTTCATGCCTTATTTTAACAGTGGGAAGGGTGTCTGTGTCTTGAATCCAAACTGGGAGCTAAGATAAGAAGGGGGCCTGATTATTCATGACTTTGTATATGAAGAGAAGGATTTTAAATTCAAGAATTTAAATTCTAGAATTAGCAGGGGGCCAAGGAATAGAAGCTATGTTCTCTGCAGCATTTTAAATCAACTGAAGACATTTCTGGGAGTTTTTATGCCAACCTGATAATAATGAATTATAGTAGCTCAAGTAATAGATGTAGTAATAAATGGATGGACTTTCAGCATCACTCTGAGATAGGATTTTTCTAATTTTGACAATATCATGCAGATGAAAGAATGTGTGCTGTTAAAGGACATATGCTAGTCAAAACTAACTACAACTAAATTTTTGAGATTTAGGACATTTTGTTTTCGAGGAGATGTTTGAAGATCAAAACTTCAACTTATTTGAAGGTTTTAAAATAAAGTTTGTGGTTTGTCCTTTGTCCATGATGGTTGAGATCATTAGCCGTCACACCTCTTCTGCTTTACTGCAACAGAAGTCTCTTCAAAAAGCAAGCCAGCACTGCTTGTCATTCTCTAAAGCTGGGCTGGTTTGGAAGACTGAAATATTTTAGGGGGATTTGGCACCAACCTCCTTCAATCCAATCAACTATGACTAATGTTAACACAGGTGTAAGAAGGATTTACCTGCTCAGCCACGTTCCATCCGTCATTTATAAACTCAACATGTTGCTGTGATATTTTATCCACCAACTGAAGACACAGCACGGGAACATCAACAGTGGAGCTGCATGCCTATTTCCAAGCTTTTAGCCTCTCTGTTTGAGCCACTCATACAATTTTTTTTTTGTTGTTGTTCTCTGTGAGCATTATACCTGATTTGTGCAGTGAGGTTTTGACTTTTTTTTTGTAACTCAAATTAGGTTCCTCTTTTTGGTTGTTTCCTGATAGAGGGCTTGAAGAAGCATGACCGATTGACTTGAATGTGCAGCCATCGTGTCGCCCTAGTGCATGCGAGTCTGCACAGGCAAATCAGCACGAATAAACTGAGACCTGAAGCAGTGGCTCACTGCTACATGAGCTTCAGAGAACTTAAGCTAAATTGCAAACACAAGAATGTCAAGCTGATCAAAAAATTCTGCTTGTGATTGCTTAAAAAAGGGAAAGAAATGCTGCTTTGTTTCAGGCTGAAATACATGCAGACTGAACTGACCGTACGCTTCAGTCTGCACTCTGAAATATGAGACCAGATGTCTTAACGTGCCCTGGTTTTCTGCAGGAAAATACTACACTACACTCAGATTTTTAAACTTCCACAGTGCTCAGTCTTCTCCTTCTGTTGTTACCACAGACAGGTTTCAACTACCATTCATTCATTAAATGAAGGTCCCACGAAGATGCCATTTTCTAGACTTCAAGGACTAATGAGAAATATTTTTCAGTGGAGATTTCAAGAAGAATTAAAATTCAAGAAAAAAATGGGACTTTATTCAAGAAAGTACTATTTTAACATATGAAAATGAAGTAAGCCACAATACACATTATTGTGGTTTTGTTCAAAGTTAGTTCTTCAGTAATGCCAATGGTATTTTCTTTGAGATTCTTGTACCAGAACAGAACCACAGACTTCTGGTTTCACTTCAATTTCCGTTGTCACAACGCAGGACAACTTCATACCGCACCGAGCTCTGTTCTTGAACACAGATGGGAGCCTTTTTTGGGTTTTTTGGGGCTCACATATTAAATTGATTTCATTCTGCATGTCATTTCACTTCACGTCATTTCACTTGCTTCCTCTCCCCCTCCAGTCTGTGATCAAAGGCTTGAGAAAGTTTTCATTTTGCTTTTACGAATGATAATAAAACGAACACAAGCACACAAGTTCTCATTTTTGCAAACTTCAGAGGGATTTCCTGCATGAGGCAAACACGCACGTGCCTGATTTAATCTCTAACAGAGGGGAAAATGTGTGTGAAGAACTAGATTGTTTGTCACTTGAAATCTTTGAAGCACTGATAAATTACACTGCTACGGGCCGCTGCCGTTACTGCAGACAGGAAACAGCAAACGACATGCAGACTAAGGATTTTCAAGCCAGTTATTGGCATGGTTTGATCTGATAAACAGGACACACAGGAAATGAACAGGGGGGGAAAAGTAAATTGTCAAAACAGAGTTTTATTATGTGAATGTTAAAGATCCACAAACGATAGTTGATTTTCATGTGTGACGGTGTGTTATATCATGTTCGATAAAATATGACTGTACACAGTAAAGATTGTACAGCAGCAAGTTTACATTTAGACCTTTTTTTTGGAAGCTTACCAACTTACAAGTCTTCTGATTGTGATAGGACTAGTTGAGTTTAATCAAACTGAAGACAGGAAATGTAACAAACGTCTTTGTTTGTTGCATTTGGGTAAGAGTCAACACTTTAAAACTCAGTCTATGATGGAAAAATGCTGTAACTTGAAAAAGAATTTCAATATTGTGTTAGAATATTATGTTAGGCACTGTAATACATGTTCAGTGGAACATCTGCAGTGCATGTATTCCAAAGAGACACGCTGACTAACCTGCAGTTTACATAATGGAATTTTTAGCCAATGTTAGTGTTTGCTCATTTCCAAACCTCTTGACTGGAAATACCAAACCAGGAGACCAACGGGCTTATTTTCTTGTTTTGCAATATGGACATGATAAAAGAGTCCATACCATTTTTACCTAAATATTAATACATTACTAGTTATAGTATGGTTTTGGTTGACTTGTAGGAATCACGAGAAAACAGTATAGTAATATTAGTAGTTTCAGTAAATGCCTCAAAATCTCAGATTTTGACGTTCATGTGACAGCGCCCTCTAGTGGATGTGAACATTATGAGACTGATTGTTTATTTTCTTAACCAATAATCAGGGCAAGGGGCTGGAGCCTATTCCAGCTAACACTGGAGTGCAGTGTAAAGTTGTTATAATCCTGAATTACCTGTTAACTTAAAACCTATATGTCTTTGGACTTTCATAGGAAAAACATGCATACTAACTCCACACAGAAAACTCAAGCTAGCAAGCCTGTTTGAGCCAGGAACCCTGTTGCTGTGAGGCAACAGTGTTAACCACTGCACTGCCAAGCAGTTTGGCAATGACATTAACAAATGACTACATTTAGTGACACTACAGCTACGTCACAATATGAGGGATGTTGGGGTTAATGAATGGCTGTTAACACAGGAATTAACTCTTCCCTTTCAAATTGATTTTCAAATTGATAATCACTTGTGGTTTTTAGCCATGACCCTTTTATAACCTTACCACATGCTATTACTGTAAAGATGACTGTAATGGTTGCATGAAATTAAAGTTCTCATTTCAAGTCAAACCATAATCTTTCCTAATCACATTTAATTTGTTGTTAGTTGTTGCTTTTTTCCGCTTAACACAAATCCAAACCAATAGCATTACCATATGAATCAAAGGATTAATTATGTTTCAACAGTGATTATTGACAGTTTAAACCAGAGGCTTATGTATCTCATGCTGCAGTATGTTCATAAGGGTCACAACAGATTGGAGGATTTGTTTTGTCTTATAGTGGGAATAAAATTATGTTTTGATAACAATGTGGGGTTACTCCTCAGTTATTGTGCAACTTGATGTAGCAAATGGTTAACTTAACTTGAGATCTTTTTAATACTTTTTGACGTGTTTCATTTATGAGAAACGAAGCAAACCAACAAACAAAAGTTATTTTAGTTAATTTGGAGAAAAGACTATCCCTTTTTTATAATGGCCTGCTGAACCTGCATCAGCGTGTGTTGTGTAAATCTGGTAGAGATTATCGGGGTCCTCAGTTTTGATTGAAAATCGTCTCAAATTTGCCATGGCCGTGATGAGAAAGGTTTAACATTACCCACAAACCCCACCTCCCTGTTGGTCCCTTTCTCTCCGCTCTCTTTCCCCATCCGCTGACTCAGCCTGTCAGTGGGTGGGTCTTTCATGCTGTCACTCAGTGCTGCTCCTGCTTCGTGATTAGTTTCTCTCTTCCACGCTGGTAGGCGGTGCCATCGGATCCACATGGAGGCAGTTGGGTATCTCTGTGCCCGTTAGTCTATTCCATCCTCCAGTGGCGACGCTCCAGATACGCTGGACCAACTTGGAAATACTGCAGCTGGACTAAGAAAAATATGCTCTGAAGACTTGCTTATTTTAATAATACTTTTATTGCTTAATCCATATTTTTTAAATAGCAGTGGGGAAGAAAACCTATCTTATTTGCGCGTAAAAGTCTCTTGTCATTTCATTCTTAATGAACTGGAGAGGAGAGCGCTGAATGATAGTGTTACTGATGTTTTCCTTGCATTTTAGATGGACTTTGAGCTCTTCTTAGCAATTACATTTACCTGTGACAATTTAACTGATTTACAAGTTAAACTGGCATAATTTATGGGAATATTTAGATTATTGGATTTTTTTTTCCTTGGGGAACTTTGCGCTTTCCTGGAGATAACTATTCTTTTTTATGCGTAAAATATTTTTGTTTGGGTCATTTTAAGAAACAGAGACCCGTTAGCAGACACTTTGCTATCTTGTGCAAGTGAAACGGGTTTGATGGAAACATGACCAAAGCCGTAACTGGGCCGGTTATCCTGCACACCCTATGCCTGCTCCCGTTCCTGCTACTTCACGTCTCACCGGTGTGTCTGTCTGCGCAGCACGGACATCCAGTGCGCTACTTCGGCCAGATAGCGGAGAACTCTCCAGCTGGGACGCCAGTGGAAGGGGTGGTAATTTCTGTCACAGCTGCAAACTGCCCCGGTGCGAACCTCACTGCCAGCTTGAAGGGAGATTACGCGTCAGATTTCAGACTTGTTCACTACCGCGGGCATCGGGTCCATCGAGGGCAATTATGTTTGGTCTCCGCAAAAGCACTGGACCGGGAGTTTATAGCTATGTACGAACTGATGGTGGAGCTGCCAACTCGGTGTATGAGGAGACGAGCCATCGTCCAGATTGAGGTGTCCGACAAGAACGACAACATCCCTCGGTTTACCAGCGGGAACAAGACGATTGAAGTAGATGAGTTAACGCCGCCCGGAACCGAGCTGGCTCGCTTTGACGCAAAGGACGGTGACGCGGAGAGCAATGGACATGTCACTTTTTACGCATCACCGGACTTGTACCTGCTCCACGTGGATCCACAAAACGGACAAGTGAGCCTAGCAGGATCTCTCGCTGGATTCAGACAGGTGACTTTGCGCCTTTACGTGAAGGACGGAGGAGATGTAGCACTGATAGGTGAGCCGGTGTTCTTGCGCATCAACGTCCGCCGGTCCAACAGAGCGCGACGGATGCCGCGGGCTCTGTCCGAAGAGCTGACCTACACAGTTACCGTTCCGGACCACGTCAGAGTTGGCGACCTAGTGTTCACAGTTCCTGACCAGAGGTTCGATCAACGGTGGTTTGAAGTGATATCCGAAGCCGACTCACCAGTCCAGATCGAGCGGGATTCGGGGCGTTTGTACCTGGCGCGCAGTCTGCGAGAGCCCGCCGAGGTGGTGGTGAAGATTCAGAACCTCCGAGGTAAGAAAATTCTGGTTTTCTTTTCGTGCGTAAAAGCGCAAAGAAAGTCAGACTTACCTGAAGATTGTCATGCTGCCTTAGGAGGCTGGTGTCTACCTTTGAATGTTGACGTACACGTGGTACTCAAAGTGTATTTTATTGAGTCTTAGCCACATCTCTCTTTTTTAAAATTTAAAAGTAGGGCCAGGAGTCAACAAGGTAAAACCAAAGTTAGTAATCGTAATGTGGAGGAACAATCCTGTGAACCTTTTTTTAAAAGTACATTTTCTAACAGTTTCAGCAATAATTTCTCCCTAAAATTATTGCTGAATCTTCCTTTCAGAATTGAGTGGTGCTCATTCATTTAGAGAAGTTTGCGCGCGTGCTTTTGTATGTTTTGGCTTTTTTCCATCTGAGTTTAAATCGACCTCAACGGTCACTTTCCACTCTTTCATTCATTCCTTACAACACTCCACACGGCACTGCCAAGTGTGTGTTTCTTGTGTGTGCGTGTGAAAGTCTGTGCGAGTAAGATACACAGAGTGAGATTACTGTTGCCAGTAATTTGTTAAAGGACAAACAGAACTGAGAGCGAGGTGAGGCAGAGTATATACAAGTCAACACACTTCACACAGAGATTTTACTTTTAAAATACAGTTACCACACACACACACACACGCACATACGCACACATACACACACACACACACACACACACACACATCCATGTTTTGATAGTTCTCCAAAAGGAAAAAACTGGACTGCAGCTTATTATTTAAATGGCAAACAGCACCTGTACAGAATTTGTTTTGCTTTGCATACTAGCCTTTTCAACACCACCTTTATTAGTTAGGATTCACAAGGGTTACACAGCCTGAACATAAAATATTTATATATCCATGATTTCCAAAAGACTAATCCAATCTGCCATTTCTGTTGTGAAGGTTGGATTGTGATATGTAGCAATAACAACCTGGTTAAAGGACAGCTTTTCAAACTATATTCATGTGGTCGTATGTGTGCCACTCTTTCATCACACATTGCCATGGTTAAAAAAAGATTTAGATATAAGCTTAGAGGCAAAAACTTGTTTAAAATAAGCTATGCCTTGCAGGGTTTTGTCTCTTTTCCTGCAATTAAAGGTGAGCGTACAAGCTTATTTCGGTTGTAGCACTCTTTAGGTCAAATTTGCCTCTAGGTTTTACACAATTATGTGTTTTCACGCCCAAGTGCACTGTGTTAAAATTTACGTAAAACAAGTTTTGTCTTTATAAGTATTGCCATAGTTTGAGTAATAACTCGAAATTACAGAAAGATCAAAGACCTATTTAAAGGAGTTTAACAAACTACAAAAAGCAAAGACATTTATTCTACTTTACCATCAGCGATGAATATCAGCGTTTAAAAAGAACATGTTTTCTACCTAAAGACCAGTTCTTACTTAGGAGTCTTCAAAAATCTGAAGCAAGCAAAGTCAAAACTTGGACAAATGAAAGCTGTAAAGCCTAAGAAATTCTACTTAGGCTTTAGGTGAAATATGGATGTATTGACCCTTAACAAAACTCACCCAATCCCAGCAATCTGTCAGTCACAATCTCCCCACCCTCAAAGAGGTAAACTTCTCACATCTGGTGCTACACTCACTTAAAACCAAGAAATATTTAAAAATAGTATTAAATCTGCTGGTTAACATATTGCGAGTCTGAAATGTGTTAGTGTCTTGCAGCTCTGATGTGTTTGACAGGATGAAATGACATCCAGATGCCAATGTGCTCACCCTACTTTGCAAAGTCAATGTTTAACCAAAAGACTAAACTCTTCACATCTGGATGGTGGTGGTTGTGCTGGCAACTGGGTGTCCTGGTCAGATCTGGCTAATCAGTTGATACAAACTGCATCTCCGATGTTTATTTGTAGAAATTAGTTGTGTTTGCTCACCTGGAGATCTCCCAGGTCTGAACACACAAGTCAAAACAGATCCAGAACCTCAGACAGGAAGCAGTGTTTGTGTTAAAGCAGACTGCCGAGCTCAGATTGGCTCTGGTTTGTGACTGCAGAGAAAGAGTGTGTGATTTGGTCGACACGGCATTGAGCGTGTTATAAACTGGCCGGCTGATTGAGAAGAACTGCCTTTCATCGGCTGTGGTTGCGATTTTGATCTGTGGGAATGAGGTCTGGGCAACAGCAGCGGTCTGGTGGAGGCAGTGCATTCGTCTGTGATTGGTCAGCTGGCTAAGCAGATGCTGTTTGTGTAGTTTAAATAGTTTGCAGTTGGAAGTTCCTGACTAATGCCGGTCAAACAGAGAACACAAGTTTAACCTCTGGATCTGCAGATGAGTCCTTTCTTTTTCCCTGAAATCATCAAGTTTACATCTAAATTATTCATTAAAAAAATCTAACAATGATTCATCAATCAGTAGTATTTTTTTAGTTGAATGGATCAGTTACTTTTAGTCAGGCAGGATTTCTGACTAAAATGTGTAACAAGGACCTGAAAAATTAACTTGCTTTAGTTTAGAAACTCAAAGAAAATCAAGTTCTGAATTTGCAGATTGTAAAAAAAAAAAAAAAAGACGGAAGATGTGAATCACAATTCTTGCAGTCCCACGCGCTCCTCACTCCCTGTATATAATAAATTGCACACAGATGTCAAGGTGTATGTACCCCCCCCCCTCCCCCCACCACCACCACCACCACACGCACACACACAAACACAGACACGCACTGGTCTCTCTTACTGCTTGGCAGGATGTCCATCACTGCAGATAGCGGTGACTCTACTGACTCTGCTTTATCCTTGACTGTTTATAAATCTAAACACATGATAACAGCTGCCTTTGTTTCCTTACATGTGTTGTGGCCATGACTTTAGTAACTGAACAAATTTCCTCTATGTAGGCAAAAAAGAGAGCAACGGAGTAAATAATTTTGTGGTGAGGTGAAAGCTGGTAAATCTGGCAATTTTTAGCCAACAGTCTTTTACGTAACACATCTTTAGGTCTAAACAACAGAACAGATCCAATGCCAATGACTTCCACTTGTGACACTTGTACATAAATAATGTCTTCAGTGTGAGCATTTGCAGATTTAAACATAAGACAAAAGCAATATTGATGATTTTTAAATATTTATTGTTTTCGGTGATTGTTTAGTTAAGGTTTAAGCACAGGTTAGGTTTGGGCCTTGAAAAACAATCTGTTCTTCTATTTATTTTCTGAACTCCACTGAAAAGACAACAAGAAGCTAGCCATAAAAATCAGTCATTCTAACCCCCTCCATAGCCGGTATACCCAATATTGTCGTGTTTTGGTGAAGTTGTTTTGAGTTTTTGTAGATTATTGCTATCAGGAATTGACTAGGACACAAAAATATCCCAGATGTTTGATCAAAGGTTGTTTTAGTAGAGGAAAATACAAACTCTACAGGGCTATGTCATGTTATGTCAGCTGGATTCAGCTGGCATGTTTTCAAAGAATTTTGTATCACTCTGTAGCATTCTACACTTTTATTAAAAATCCTGCCTTTGAGGTCTTTTTTACACTTTCACTTTCATATCAATGCTTTACACGACACATACTGCAAGGTCTTATGTTTAAACTTAATAAAGATAAAGGTATGTCAGCCCATATAGATGCTGTGAGGCAACTTGACAGGTTAAACCACAATAAATGGGGCGATCGTGGCTCAAGAGTTGGGAATTCGCCTTGTAATCGGAAGG